GCAGGGTGGTGGGGTCTGCAGCCACACGTGTGGGCCTGGGGTGCAGGGCTGGAGCCGCCACTGTTCCCCGCCCAGGCTCCCGGTGCTGCAGCTCTGCCCCAGCCCCGAGCACCAGACTCAGGCCTGCTTCACGGCTGCCTGCCCAGGGGAAGAGCTGGGCACCTGGGAGGGCAGTGGAGTTGGTGGGGCCCAGAGAGACTGGGTGAGGAAGGCCACTGAGCTTCTACCCAGACCTCATGGTGCCCTGCCTGTGGGTCCCTCCTCACAGTGGACGGTGAGTGGACCTCTTGGTCTCCCTCGCCCCTGTGCTCTGAGTCATGCAGGGGCACCATGACCCGGCAGCGACAGTGCCACCCACCCCAGAATGGGGGCCTGCTGGGGTCCAACCCCAGCAGGTCCAGGGGTCCCCGAAGGTGTGGACGGAGTTGGCGAAGAAGGAATGACATGGAGACAGCGTTTAGTTGATCAGCAGCCTAGCCAGGATCTCTAGCCAAGTTCTGGTCAGGATCTCCAGCCAGGTTCTGTGTCCATGTTCTCTTGCTAGGTTCTCCAGCCAGGTTCTCCAGGTTCTCCAGCCAGGTTCTGTAGCCATGTTCTCTCGCTCGGTTCTCCAGCCAGGTTCGGTAGCCAGGTTCTGTAGCCAGGTTCTGTCCAGGATCTTTTGCCATGTTCTCTCCAGCGAAGTTCTTCTGTCTCTAGGTTCTGTGTAGGTTCTGTCTTCTAAGTTCTAACCTTTCTCGGAGAGGTGACCTTGGTTAAAACACATAGCGCCAAGAAGGTGAGCAAACATATTAAGAACATTATGTCATATACGCCAGGTCCCTTGAAACATATGCTGTGCAGATGTTCCTTCCCTGCAGCGACTGTGTCAAGCAGCAAGAATGGACTGGCTCCCAGCAGGGGCCAGGCCTGCGTCATGCTGCCTGGGGGCCCTCACAGCACCCGCCAGTGGAACCAGACCCATGAGTGGAAGGGCGGAGGGAATGGTGCGGGGAACGTGGACGGGCTGCCAGCACTCACCCTCCCTGACCTCCGGTTCTTGGTTTTCTCAGGGCCCTGCCCTCAGGATGGCTGCCCCAATGCCACCTGCTCTGGGAAGCTAGTATTCTGGCCCTGTGCCCCCTGCCCTCTGACCTGTGATGACATTTCTGATCAGACGGTGTGCCCTGCTGACCGGCCCTGCAGCAGCCCAGGTGAGGGGTCTCTAGGCTCTGGGCATGGTGGGCATGCCCAGAGCTGAGCTCTCTGCAGGGGTGCCTCACGCTGGGCTTTCGTAGGCTGCTGGTGCCCCAAAGGACAAGTGCTGGGCAGTGAGGGGCAGTGTGTGTGGCCCTGGCAGTGCCCCTGCCTGGTGGATGGTGCCCGCTACTGGCCTGGGCAGCACATTCAAGGCTGACTGCCAGCTCTGCATCTGCCAAGACGGGCAGCCCGGAGCTGCCGGCCCAACCCCGACTGTGCCCATGAGGTCTCATCCTTGGCCCTGACCGAGGGGTCCCACCCAGCCAGGCACCTGCCCCTGCTCCGGCCCCTGACTCTTGATCCTTTCTCAGTGAACTGTGGCTGGTCGCCCTGGTCCCCCTGGGCTGAATGCCTGGGGCCCTGCGGGGGCCACAGCATTCAGTGGTCCTTTCAGAGCCCCAGCAGCCCCCACCTCTCCAGCCCTGTGTGCCCAGGTATGTCCTGCCCCCGGGGTGGCCTGGGTGTCAGGGTGGGTGAGGAGCAAAGGAGAAGAATGACCCTGTGGGTAGGGTGTAAGCAAACCTGGGAGGGGACAGTCCCAAAGTTCCCCCCACCCCAGCCTCCCCCCCATTCCCGGAAGCCCCGCGTGAGATGAACAGGGTGGGCCAGCAGGTGGGCCTGGCCTGAAACAGAGTTTGGGGCAGCCTTGGAGGTGTGGGTGTTTGTGGGGCTGGAGCTTTGGTTAAGACCCTGCATACCACACGGCTCCAGCCCCTCCCGTGCTTCATCCCCTGCACGTCTCTGTCCTGTGCTGATGTGGACTTGCCTCTTCCTGACAGTGCCAAGACCTGGGGTCTGTGGGCCCCCTGGCCCACCTGCTCAGCCCCCTGCGATGGAGGCATCCAGACATGTGGGCGCAGCTGCTCTGGCTCGGCAGCTGGCTCGGCTGCCGGGGACGCTGAGTGCCAGGGACCACACAGCCAGACCAGGGACTGCAACACGCAGCCATGCACGGGTGCCAGGTCCCCTCCCAGTTATTCTCCCGCAAGTCCTTTCCTGGGGATTTGACCTTTCTTTAGCCCCGCCTTCGCCCACCTCTCTTGAGCTAAGAGAGACTTTGCTGCATTTCCTGTGTCTCCTCCTCCTACCCACTGGAGACCAGGTACCAGCTGTGGCCCGAGGGAGGGGGCCTCCCCTGGCTTCTCCATCCTGTCAACAGGCTGTCACCAGTCACCTGCCTGCAGGTTCCCCTCTGTCCTTCCCTCCCCAGCCCTTGCCTTCACTCCTGCTGAGACCAGCTCTGTCTTCCCATCCAGCCCAGTGCCCAGGGGACATGGTCTTCGCTCAGCTGAGCAATGTCACCAAGAGGGGGGTCCGTGCTCTTGGCTGTGCCTGGTGCAGGGCCCAGGGGTGGAATGTACCAGCTTCTGTGCCCCTGGCTGCACCTGCCCCCCTGGCCTCTTCTTGCACAACGCCAGCTGCCTACCCCGCACTCGGTGCCCCTGCCAGATGCACGGGCATGACTACGAACCGGGAGCAACTCCTGTAACAGCTGGTAAGCCACCAGAGTCAGGGCAAAAGGTGGCGGAGGAGGGACAGGGGCTTGGAGGCTCCAGAGATGAGCAGGTGTGGATGCACATGCACTGGAGATGGGGGTGGGAGAGTGTTCAGCATGCCTCCATGGTGCCAGAGTGAATGAGAGTCTGTAAGGAATTGTCATGCCCAGCCCATTTGACTTATGGGAAGATTGAGGCTCAGATAAGTGAAGCGATTTGTGATGGGACTAGAGCAGTGATGGCGAACCTTTTGAGCTCGGCATGTCAGCATTTTGAAAAACCCTAACTTAACTCTGGTGCCGTGTCACATGTAGAAATTTTTTGATGTTTGCAACCATAGTAAAACAAAGATATTTTTGATATTTATTTTATATATTTAAATGCCATTTAACAAAGAAAAATCAACCAAAAAAATGAGTTCGCGTGTCACCTCTGACACGCATGTCATAAGTTCACCATCACTGGACTAGAGCCTGGGTAGGGGCTTCTATTCCTCCAATTACTTTTGCTTCTCTTTCCTGAATTTCCACTGATTTCCAATCCAAAACCTAGAAACATCCAGTATTCAAAGCTTATACGAGGCCCTGCCACCAGAGGGCAAGCTAACCCCATTCCCTCTTTTCTCATTTTCCTTTCTTTCAATGTCATTTCATTTTCTTCATTTTCCTTTTTATTATTTTTTTTTATCATCCGGCTCCTCCCTCAATTTTCTCCTTCATCCTTCCTCCCCCTGCCCCTTTCCCTTTTGATTTTTTCTCTCAGACTGTTTTTCTTTGACAAGTGGGCTTTAAAACATTTATTGGAGAAAAGTACACCATTTTCCTCCCCAGGAAATTCAAGTTAGGACCTATTCTCTCTGAATTGCTCCTACCTGTCCCTGGATAGTCACTCAAAGTTATTTCTAAGCACTGTTTAATAAATACAAATGGGATATAAAGTATGAAAAGATAACTCCCTGATAAAAACATGAGATCAAGGGCTGCCTGGTGCCAGGGCGTCTGGGGGCTCACAGAAGGTGGGCTGATGCTCCTAGTGACAATCCTGGGTCACATGTGAAATTCATGTAGGACTTGGGCAACTCGCTCTACTGCCTAGACCCCCCAGTTCTGTCCTCTGCGGTGGACAAGGTAGCCCAGCTGCCTCCCCTGGGGCAGGTACCCAGAGCTCCAGGGGCAGGGACTGACTGTGGCTATGATGGGCCCTGTCTCTGCAGACAGTAGGTGTGAAAGCAGATCAAGCCATCCCTGAACCCCCAATTCCCTGGGGAATCATTGAGGACCCCCAGAGTTGATCTCTGAATGGGGTCAGCATCCCCCCTGGTCCCTGAGGGCCTTGCGGGTACCTGGGCACGGCTTGGAGGTGCATGCCATCTTGCCAGAGACACAGAGAAAGAGCCAAGGGTATGGGGCTAGAGACAGGGAGACCCTGAGGGGGTCTTCAGTACAGCTGACTGAGGAGAGAGCGCTGAACTCAGGGTTGGTGGCCGAGCTCTGCCAGCAACAGGCAGGTGGCGTGGGACAGTCACGTTCATGCCTCCCTGGGCCTCTGTTTTTCCATTTGTGAAATGGTCATAGGCCTAGAAGGTCTTTAGGATTCATGTCTGATTGAATGCTCTGTTCTCTTGTGTTATTTATTGAACACCTACTGGGTGTACCGGTTAATAGTAAGGATTTTTTTTCAATAGATGGAGTTGCACATATGTTGATATATATGCGATTTGATATGTATGCTATTTTGTTGTATTGATAACAAGCTTCAATACTTCATATGTCACATTTTCTGAAGGTGTTAACATTATAGGTATTTTTACGCTTAAAATGTCAAATTTCATGCCAAAAAAGAAGCATTTGCGGGAAGTTTTAATTCATTACTTTATTTTGAAGAAAAGTGTGGTTGAAAGTTATCGTATACTTCGGGAAGCTTATGGTGATGATTTCCATGTGAAAGACAAAGAACGTCCAGGCCAACCGAAAAAGTTTGAAGACCAACATAGAAATCATCACTTTTAAAGCGTTTAAACCAGTGTTCGCAAGTATCTTGAGATGGAGCATGTTCACCCCAAGCACAGAACCCAGCAAAGCCCAGGGGACACAAGGGACATGGTCGATCTCATGGGGAGACAGCTGATCAGAGCCGGGGCGAGTCTTCACCAAGGTCTGGCCACACCTGCTGCTTGGTCTGGTGGCCCTCGTCGGGGCGGGGCTCTGGAGCCCGCTGGGCACCTCTACCCTCCAGGGAGTCCCCTGCTCCTCCTCCTGTGGCCCCATGCAGTTCCCAGCACCCTGCTCTGCTCATTGGGACCCTCAAGGCAGACGGGCCAGGATCCCAATAAAGAAAGGCACCAAGGGCCCTGGCCAGGTGGCTCCACTGGTTGGAGCATTGTCCGGTGTGTCAAAAGGTTGCAGGTTTGATACTCGGTCAGGGCTCGTGCAGGAGGCAACAGATCGGATGTTTCTCTCTCTCTCTCTCCCTTCTTTTCTCTCTCTAAAAAATCAATAAACATATCTTTGGTGAGGGTCTAAATACAAACAATCATGGAATGCCCCTGCCCTCCAAAAATAGTGTTTTGAGTATTATTTTTGAGACTCATTTACATTTAAAAATAGGAATTCGTTCTAGACTTCAGTGCTGGGAAGGAAAAAGGAAAAGAAAAAGGAAGGAAAAAACTCAACAGATCTGTAGACTTGTTTTAGAACATTTTTTTTCTTATTTATTTATTTATGTTAAAAAACTCAAGAGTTAAAGACAGGGTTAGGAAATAACCTTCCCTCCCCCCAACTCTTCCAATATATAAATAAAACATTGCAACTGTACACTGGATTGTGAAATTATAGTCTCCATTTTAAAAATAAATGACTCTCAAATGCATAGAAAATAAATGGCAAGTTGAAGTTGTAGGTTATGCCCAATGTTGTAGCTTCATTTAAAAATCTTACTAATACAATTATTTTCCCATTCTTCCTTCATACCATCTCAATTTTATTTAACAGCCAGTTTGACGTTTTAATGATACCTATGTATCTTAAGTGAAAGTTCCTTGGAAACAGAACTTGGGATGGGGATTTAGTGAATGTGATTTATTTGCAAAGTGATCTTTGGGCTACAGGAGCGAGAAAAACAGAAAAGAACAAAGGGAAAAGGCTGAGCAAGGATGTGATCTCAACTGGAGTGTTACTTTCCTGAAACTGCAGGGGGACTCTCAGGAGCACAAATTGAACTGGTTTGTCCATACTTGAAGCAAAGGGGGAGCAGTTTGTACCCTATGGCACTCAATCTTGGTTGGAGGGCAGTTTTCCAAGGAACTGGCAGCTGTGATGCACTAACAGTCAATTCTCAAAGCATGGCTGAACCCTCCTGCTCACTTCAGCTCCGTGGCTGCTGGCCTCCATCTTGGTTGGGTTAATTTGCATACATTTGCTCTGATTGGCTGGTGGGCGTGACTTGGGCATAGCGAAGGTACAGTCAATTAGCATCTTTGTCTTTTATTATTGTAGATATCAATTTTTACATACATGACACAAATGGACAAACTACTTTTCCAGGCCATGGATCTGTCTACTACAATGTTTTCCTTGACCCATTATCCTATTTAATCACAAAATGTATTTGAAGGTACTTGCAGAGAATCACTTAGGCTTGACTTTTAATCTAACAATATGTATATGAGGAAAAGTGCTTTGTGTTGATTTATGTGTTTTTACTATGTTACACCACCTCAGGATCAGAGCTGGATATGTCTCTTAGCATATATGGCTACTAAAAATAAAATATTTGTGAGAACTGTAAGAGAAATTATGAATCTTCTACCTTTGATTAACTTTAAAAACAGGAGAGACAGCCCTCTGCCTGGGATGGAGTAAGTGCTCACTAGAGAATAGACCCAGTTAAGGCTCCATGTAGGTCTTTTCTGACAGTCTTACAAACTAGTCTGTAGCCAC